CCCGTTAAAAACGGGCAACGGCAAAAACCCCAAGCAGAAACGGAAACACCAATGGCAAATGGCGGCAGTTCGCGGCGGAACCAAACAGCAGACAGAGACAGGTTGACGAACAGAGAGAGATAGAGTGAGCAGGAAAGAGGCGGGCAGAGTAGAATGGCTTAATGCCACTAAAGGACATTACATTTGTTATTGCTTGGCAGTTATATATACACATGTATGTCTTGTATAGGCCGCAAATGTGCTCCTAGGCACAGTGGGTCGCAAAAGCTAAACATGTTGTGCTTAGATATATGTTTTATGTCTGTATTTAGTTATGCAAATTAATGCTGTGCCATAATTCAGTGCATATTGGGTTAGTTAGGCTAAAATGGGATGTACAAATTAAGAAATGAATCGAAAAATGAATCACTTATGTTAAATGTCTTAAAATAAAGCCAAAATGTTAGCAATTAGTATAGAAATGTTTTAAATATTTATCCACTCAGAAGCTTTCAACATGGAGAAGACAACGATTATTAAGTTGTTACAAGTTGCAACTTAAAGCTGCACTTAAAGCTCCCAATATACGTTGATCTGCAAGAGCTTTTACAGCAACAGCAGCAGCAAATATTAAGCTGGGCTTAAAGCTTTGTTTAAATTTTCTACGTTAGCTGCCGAGAATCAAAGCCCCTCCTTATTTATGCGTAGTTTGCTTAAGCTGTTGCTAATTGCTTAAAATTAATAAAAGTTTTTAATAACAGTTACTACCCCTTAACAAAAGCTTTTCTTATGCGAGAGAAATAAAATATAGCAAAGTTTCTTCTAGACAAATTCCTTTTTTCTTTCCAGTTTACCTGTTTTATTTAGGTTTCCACCCACTGAAATTTCCGACTTTTAAATAGAACCTTTCCGACTGATGTGGCTCATTGTTGTCGCAGTTTGTTACTTCTATTTTTTTTTTATACAAAAACAGAAAAATATTGTTGTCCCGACATTTGCACTGTTAATGTGTGTGTGTGTGTGTGTGTGTGTGTGTTTGCTGTTGTTTTTATTTCCATTTTGATTGCCATTGCGCTCGGCCTCTAAGTGAGTTTTTCTTTAATTTTTTTTCCTTTCGACGATTTTGCTTCTGCAAAGCGCACAAATGTATGCAACACATTTTGTATGCAATGGCCGCAGCAAATCCGCACGAAATGCCAACAGCTGGAGAGGGGTTATACGTTGCTAGCTGGGAAAAGGGGGGGGGGGGGGGGCAGGGGTTAACTCGTTGCAACTTCCGTGCTGGGTGAACGGAAATGGCGGCGTCAGGTCGCCAGACCGACAAACGACACCGACACCAACGGGGCCAAAAACTGTAATCCGAAGCGCCGCCAGAAACACATGCAGCTGGCCAATTGAATAAGCAGCAGCAGCAGCAGTATGTGCCAATGTATGTGCGTGTGTGTGTGTGTGTGTGAGTGTGTGCATGTGTGTATTTGGTGTGGCTCTGCTTTCAAGTGCCGCCACTCAACTAGCACTTATTGCATGCGACAAAGGACAAACGACAGCAGCAGGCGGCAGGCGGCACGAGGCAGGAGGAGAAACCAGGCCCAGAGACGGGGCCAACAGTCGCGGCCTGTTCCGGATGCGGTCGCAACTTTTTGTCGTTTTCAATTTTAATTTTCTCTTTTTTTTTGTTTTTTTTTTGGTTTGTACACATTTTTTTTGCGCTGTATTACTGTCAAACCGGGCGGAGTCATAGCCACAGTCACACAGTCGGCAACTTGCGACACACTTAAAGCAGTTAGCTCGATGACCATCAGTGGCATATCATGTTGTACTACACTGAGAGAAACTGTTGGTATAGATACACACAATTTAATGAAATTCTTAGGGAGTTTTAGAAAGCTTAGTCAGCTGAAGTTGAATGCAGTTATATTCATCCCTTTGAATTTGAATTCGAGACAGTTCTAAAAGCATCTAAAACAAAATACCCAGTTTTATACAAATTCACGCACACAACCGAAACATGAGTGGAAAATTGTTGTGGTAAATTATTTACAATAGTCGTTTTTTAATTAATTCAATATATATTAAATAATTGAGCAAAGCTTTCTTTCTTTAGCAAATTTGGACGATATCAAAATTATGTTTTTATGTTATTTATAAGATATTGTAAATCTTGTGATATCAACTATTCAAGATGAATGTACTGTATTTTGACCCAAACCCGTTTTGATATGGAGAAAATAAAGGATTCATTTTGTGCAATGTAGTTGTAGTTGTAGGTTCAGCCTTCATTTTGGTCATTGCTGCACATGCTGCGTGAATGTGATTTGCGGAATGCCAAATGTGGGTAAAAATACAGAAAGAGAGCGCGAAAGCTAGCTAGAGCGCGTGTGAGAGAGAGACTGGAAGAAACAGAGAACTAGCTGCTAGAGAATGTCACGTAATTGTTCAAGCAAATGGCACAGGCCGCAGCACTGCCAGTTGAAATGGCGCACATTACGTATACGTAATGCGCGTTACGTATACGCAGCATATGCAGCTGCGGCTGACGCCTAAGCGGCCCGAAGGCAAAAGATTACTGCAGCTGCGGACATGAATCCTGCAGTCTCACCTGGACTGCAGTTATTATGGCCATAACCATAACAGTTATCTGATTTCTTTGGGCTCCTTTTTTGCTTATGCTGGCTGCAGCTGCCGTTGACAGTGGGCCAACGAAAAAGGACAGAAAATAAATGCTCGCCAGCCTTTGGGGACGTTTTTTTGTGCCTGTTCTTTTTGGTTTTTTTTGTTCATAATTTAATATTTACAAAGTAGAGCACACAGCGTCGAGTAGTAACACAGAAAACTGCAAAATAATAAAACGAAATTACCAGAGACAGGACACCAGAGAGCGCCAGAGAGGCGGCGGGCAGACGGAGATGGAGAGGCCGCTCTCCGGCATGTCCTGGCGAAAAATCTGTGCGCTGCGCTGCATTAAAAAACGCTTAGAGCAGCAACTTTTGTCGCCTGCCTGGCGACTGCTGCTCCTGTCTGCAGACTGTGCTCTGCGCCGGCCAGTGTCCTGTTTGGCTGAGCTGCGCCATGTCCTGCCACGCCACCCTGCCCTCCGCTGCCGCATTGTTCATTGACAGTTTTTGGGCGCGGGGTGTGATTCTGTCGTGCATTTCTGAAATTTGTTTGTTTTTAATTAATTGCACGCGGCGACGCTGAAGTAAACCTACGTCCCCCACCATCACCAGCACCACCTGCCGCACCCTGCCACCAACAGCAAACCTAGCAACCCGCGGCCTTTTGCTGCTTTCACACATGTGCTGCTGCCGCTGCTGCTGCTGCCGTGGGCGTGGCTGCGTGTTGTGCTGTGATTAAGCCGCTGAATGGCTCGGCTGGTCACTGAGCTGTGGACTTGAATAGCGTGCCAGGATTTTAGATAAGCCTGCCCCCGGCCCCACTCGAGCAAGCCGCCAACCCGCCAACGCCTTAACATACCGCGTGTCGGCTGGGCGTGGCTTGTTAGCGCTGCGTCGCCACAAAGTATGTCATAAAAAATGTTCACAGCCTGTGAAGAAACTTTAATTTCGATTAATTTCTGTTGCACACACACACACACACACACACAGACAGACAATTACCAACACCATTAAATGACAACAAAGTTGATGTTGAAATCGGACTGCGAGTGTATGTGTGTGTGTGTGTGTGGCAATAACCATTTCCTGCACCATCACGAGAACCCTTTTGGGGTTGACAGCACAATTTGCATAAATTTTAAATTTCAATTTGCAAACCAAAAGAAAAAAACTGAAAAGTGAACTGAAATGAAATGAAAGAAATATTATGCATGAAACGGAAAGGCAAAAGTTCGGCAAGTGAGCAAAAATAAGAAGAAGCAGCAGCACAGAAAATACCAATAACAATGAGAAGTGAAAAAAAATACCGAAATTAGCAGACAACAAAGCGAATGTAGAAGCGGCTGGGGCGAAAAGTAGGTAATAGATGGGAGCGCAATCCAATGAAACCCCTTTTTTTGCTTGAATGAGAGAAAGAGAGAGACAAACGCACATTTTGTCAACGACGAAAGACTGAGAGGGTGAGTGAGGGGGGACAGTGGAGGCAGAGGGGGGCTGGCTGGCAGGTCAGCCTGTAGTTGACTGCTGAGCTGCCTTTTAGCTTTGCCAGCATCGCAGCAGTCTCTATCCAGAGGCAGCTGCATCTCTTTCTCTCGCCGCTCGGCTGGGCCCTGGCTCGTTTTACAAAATTCTTACACATCCGTAGCATCATGTATGTGTGCGGTTGTGTAAGTGTTTGTGTGTGTGTGTGTGAGTGTGTGTGTGCCTGCTATAACGGAACAGGAAACAACTGGCATTGGCAGCCATACGACGTTAAGGATAATCGTGATGACAGCATATTTGGCTGCCCCCAAAAACCCAAACACAAAATCGAACGACAAGTTTTCCCAACTGTGTGTGTGTGTGTAAGTGTATACACGAGTGTGTGTGTGTGTCTAACTTGAGGGCGCATCCTTTTTGTGTCAGTTTGTTGTCTTTAAAACGACATTAAAAATGGTCAAATGAGCTTAGAACGCCTGCTTAAACATCACTTTGATCCCTGCGCATTGCTTGAACCCACTCAACTAGGCAAAAGGGCGAAGAAAATCCAAAGAAAAATCCACAGGAAAAATGCGCTATTTCAGCTAAATCAGAACGCAAAATGCCGTCTAAAATGCTTCCTTTGAGAGACGTTTTGATAACGTTTCAGTTTTAGTTTTGTCTCTTACAAGTGGGCGTGCCCTCAAAACAGGGGCGTTTGGCTTGCTCTTCAACAATTTTCCACCCTTTTGTTTTTCCCTATATTTAAAGTTCTGACACGCATTTTGATAAATGTGATTCTTATGTTGATTTGAAGCAAAAACCAAACTGAACTTTGACAGTAAGAGAGGATGGGAGGAGTTAGATATAGAGTTAATGTTTTCCGCTGAGCCCATTACCAAACCAAATATTTAACGTCATATTTCTTTGCTATTGTTTCTTTTGCAGATCCTTTTGAGCTGACGACGCAGTTTGTCGCCGATATGCGAGGCCTTGTGAATGAGGTAAGTCTTTCTCTATATGCTATGAATTTGTACCTATATATATCTGTCTTAAAAATAAGAGAATATGTTGTCCATTTATACTCTGTAAACAAAGAGCTTTCCAACTTTTATAAAAATGTTACGTTTTCTTCAAAAGATGTTCATCAACTTATTTGAATACAAGCTTGAATCTGACTGAATGAATTGGTTTCCACCAATTTTCCAATGCAGCCGAAGCAGTTTTCCATTGATTATTAGTCAATCAATCAATTCATCAATCAATCACTCAGTCCGAACAGTTTTATATTTAAAGATCGCATATTGGCTTTTTATTATCTTTCGTGCAAATTGTATCCCCTTTCTCTATCGAGGACAGATTTTTCTCGTATAGAAACTTTCATTACTTTCCATATTCAGATTATATCATAAGTTTATAATATAAACTGAGCTCTGTGCTTAGCTAGGACATAAAAGTTAATAAAAGTTAAATACGAGCAAGAGAAAGAGGGACAGAGAAAGACCGAGCTAGAAAGCGTCAAACTTAGATTAATAGATTGAGAGGGCATCCCTTGGCGTATATTACTTTAACTTAATTTTTCTTCATACTGAACACGCGTTGTGTTTTTCTCGGTTTATTGCTGATGTGGCTGCTTATGATAATATGGCCAATTCTAGTGCTTCCTCTGGCCCCCGCCTATTACTACTCCCACTCTTTTAGCTTTTCTTTCCGTGGAGCACGTTGCGTATAGGCTCAGGGCACAACTACAAGCCGTTTTCTTTGGCCACATTAATTGAACGCTGTTTATTTATGGCTGGTAATTTAAATGCGGCCAAGTGGTTTTCGCCCATACTCGCTTGTCTATGGACAAAGCCAAAATGGGGCGTGGCTGTAGTTGGGGGCAGGAGTGCGCTATAAATTGTTAAGTTTTTCTGTTGTAGTTGTTGTTCCACTGGTTGTTGTTGTTGTTTTTTTATCAGCGCGGCCAACAACATGAATAATAATGCATGCACAATATTCCAGTGCTCATTTGCGTGTCCTATGGTAGCACACACACACGCGCGCACACGCACACACAGACACACACTAGCAGGCAGTCGCACAATTGAGGCGGAAGTGCGCATTGTTTCCGCTTTTAATAAGGGCTGTTGTTCTGGGGCCGCTTGAGCCGATACATTGCAAACGCATTATAAAGCCTGGCAACAGGCCATAAATTGCATTAAATTGCATTTAAATGTGTGTCGGACAGGTTAACAATACCGCTGCCACACCCATTCCCACTCCACCCTACCGCCCTCATAATTGATTGTAAGCCAAAGTTGTTTGCCAGCTGCAAAAAGCCTTTAAGCCCAGTTAGTTTCGAGCCAACAACAAATTATTTGCCAAGCAGCCCTCTGACATTTTCTCGCTCTGCTCCGCTTCAAGCTTTACTTTTGCGTGCAAATTCCGAAAATTCCAGAATTCTCAAAATTGCAAAGTTATGCTTATGAGCATGAAATGGCTAAGCCGTAAAAACTTTGCTCTTCTTATTCATTTCCTAGCTGGTTTTTTTTTTGTATACCCCGCAGCGACACGCGCTGGCGACAAAAACTTTAACTTGAGCTTGCAATTCGCTTAGCGGCCCAAAAGGGAGACGTTTGCCCAGTGCTTTTTGGCCAAGTGCATGCAGCCAGAAAGTTTAATGTCTGCCAACTGCAGAGTGCACAAGCAAAACTAATAACCAATTGAAACGACTAGAAGATATTCGGTAGATCGTTGATAGTTTTTGTATAGAAAAGGAGAAACTCGTAGATTTAAATGTATAAATAAAGATAGATAAAGATTATATATGTATGTATATATCTATATATATATATTTATATATATATATAGAGATGGAAGACTTTTAGAGTTTGGATTAAATGTTTTGTAGGTGACATGCTTAAGTTGTAAATATGAATCCAACATCATAGTAATTCTTTAACTTAATAGCTTGCACGTTGACTTAATTAAGAAATTATATAAAAATTATAGATATTATAGAAAAATATTAAAAGCTCATATATGTACATCGAAGTTAATATACATAATATTTTAAAAGGAGTATTCAAATATAGAAATTGTGTATCCAAATAAGTATTATCGAATAGCAATGGATGAAGTTGAATTATACAAAAGGTTCCTAAATTGCTTTCTTTTAATAAAGAACACAAGAGCCCACATATCAAATTTGTCAACTCAACTTCGTAATTTTAGGCTAAAGAGAGAGTTTGTTCGATTAGATCCCTTGATGTCTGTCATACCCAACACACACAGAGGTCAAGAGGTATTAAAAACCAACAAGCCAAGTCATTTCAAGCATTCCAAGCGCAATGCAATTAACAAGCACTCGTTACCAGCAGCCCACTTCTCTCCCCACTCTACCCAAAAGTTGAGGTTTTATGTGTGTGAGTGTGTATGTGTGAGTGAGTGTGTGGTGTATAAGTTATGGCATGCGAGTCGTCAATTAAACAAATTCTGCATACATTAATTGTGCCAAAAGTTGTGGCATGCGTGTTGGTAAAAGCACCAGAAAATCAACCAGTGCTGCAAAATTTCTCATTTGTAATGGTCGCACGACAAGCAGCTGCCCGACGGCGTATACTTAATTTTTTTGCGCTTTTGTATATATAAATACCATTTTTTTCTTTCTTTTTTTGGGGCACAGCTGGACCTGACTATGATATATGAATGTTTGGCGACGCTGTTCAACGCCATGTGTGGCATGTGGCAACTGGCAACTGTGCGGCATGTGTGGCAGGCAGGGCCAAGGGAGCTGCTTCTTTAAGCTTTTGTTCATCCACTTAATTAGCATTTTGCTTGGATTGCTCGCTTTTGTTTCGTTCGCTGGTGTCGAGTGCACGCGCGTGTCTATCGATGCGTGCTAATTGCGCAGCTTCAGCAAACAATCCCACCGCCCCACCCACACCCACCCACACACACACACAGACACCCCCCTGGCTGCTAGCGCCCGCTTCAATTTCAATCCTTGACTGCATTAGGTGCTATCAAGTGCATGAATGAAACTTTTGCGTACAAGTTTATGCCCAAGAGTTAGCTCTCACTCTCTCAGCCTTTTACTCCCTCTCTCTCTCTCTATCAAAGCAGAGCCTCCTTCGGCCCCTCGCTTCTCGCTGCATAACAAGGAAATCCGTTTCGAGTGGAGTCTGCAAGCGTTGCCTAGCTCGCAAATCTTGTGGACGTCGAACAGGCACTCGTGCAGTTTACTTAAGTGCAGCCAGCCTGCCACCACTTGGCCAGCAAGTCCGAGTGCTAGTAATACGCCGTATGTACTCTTCCTCTATATGTGTGTGTGTGTGCTATTGGCTTCGAGTATGCGGCTCAAGTGGGAGGTGGGCTGAGACAATGTCTCAATTGTCGATTGTAGCTGCTCAGCTAAACGCTTATTAACCTATTGTAATGCCCTCCCTTTAATATGAACCATAGAAAAACAAGTCATCTTAATTAATACTTATAAATTCTTAAAGCTTTTTGGAACAGGAACTTAACTCAAAAAGAGCTTGACGAACTTTCCTGAAATTCAAAAATTATTTTATAATTTTATTCAGTCGAGTCACACATGAGTCTATTTTAAATCACATTTTAACCACTTTTATGAGATTCTATAAACAAAAATAGAATCTAAAATCATTTTGTGGGCAAACTTGACGTATTGTATAATATTTAAAGTAATTTAGCGGCTTGATAATCATTTTAATCAAAATTAACGCGTTGTATAAAAGTTGAGAAACTCTTTCACGAAGTCACTTATTAAATTATTTTAATACAATTGGCAATTGGAGTAATTCATAACTGGAAATTAAAATGATTCTGCTGCATAAAATATTTCGAGCCTTCGATAGGATATTATATTTTGGATACTTTATCCTAAATAATTCATAATAATTTTCATATCAGCATCGAAAAACTTATAGGCCAGTTCTTAAACCATGATATAAACTGTTAGACAACCCTTTGATTGAAATGAACCCTTTTAAAATTTGACATGCTGAGTTCTAATATCATTCAGTTTGGCTTTGTAACATTTGCCTTGGCTTGTGGTCAATTATGTTTGACCTATGGTATAAGCTGACAGACACACACAAGTACTCAGCTCTGCAGCAATTTATTGTGGATTACGCTTTAAGTTTCACAATAGATCCAACAACAAATAAAATGAAGCCTGTCGAGTGTGTGGATAGATGTGGTCTAAAAACTCAACCACAGACAAGTCAATAAAAAACGTAGCTAACCCACTGACAGCACTTATCAAAACGTTCAATCAATCAATCAACTGTTGCCAGCAACTAAACACTGTACAAAAAGCAGAGAGGGTCTCTTCTACCTAAAGAACTAAAGAACTACCAAAAAAAAAGGAAAACAGGAAAAATATCACTCATACGCCCATTTGTGCAGAAAAAAATACACATAAAATCCACGTAAATCAGCTTAGGGAGCAGCACAAAAAAAGGAGGAAAATAGCAGTCAAAAGCACAGCGGCAACATCCAAAACGTTATAATCAAAACACACACAGACACACACTCACGCCACACACACATGCACACAAATAGGTTATGTGCCGCATTGATACAAAGGACATATGGCAGGACATGGACATAACAAACATAAAAAGGAAATGCCGCCAGGGCGCCTTCACTTGTGTGTGTGGCAAGTTTTTTGTGTGTGCCCCCGACCAGAGCCTACCCCCCCACCACCACCACCCTACCTCTTCACTCTGCGGCGCTGCCTGCTGACCCAAAGACCTGTACGCCGGAAAAAACAAGGCACATGACGCAGCGCCTGGGCAACAAATCAGCGCAAATCACAATAACAAAAGGCAGCGGCTACATTTTGTTGTTGCTGCTATTCGTTTGTCAAACTGTCGTCGTCGCAGGACAACAACAAGGACTTCACCTGCCTTTGACAAGCCCGTCAGTTAGACAGTTATTCAGTTAGTCACACAGTCGCACAGTCACATGTCAGCCGGAGCAGCATAGAATCTGG